CAATGGATACAGGCGGCCAATGGATACAGGACTGGCCAATATAAAGTCCCCCTGCCCCACCGAATCTGCTTGGAGATTAAGCCTTCAAGGCAACTCAGGTTCATTTATGGCTTTAGCCTGGGTGGCAGAATTAACAGGACCAGTACACAGGCCAGCCCCACTTACATTAAATACTCGGGGTCTAACTGAGGGGTGTCTATGCTTGGCTTGCAAGCCGGCATAACGTACCCCACCTGCGCAAAACCCTTAGTTAGAGTAGAGTAGAGTAGAGTAGAGTAGACTTAAATGTTGCATTGGAAAAAAATCATCTGCAATGCTGATGGGCAAAATTCTGATGCAACCTTGAGGAAAATCGTGAAAAATCCAGTTTTCGTGTGTGCAGTACATTCTGCTGACGTGCTATCTATGGTAGAATTTGGAGCTAGCCCGTATACTGCCAATGGTGACAGTCTGGTCATTCCAGGATTACTGTGAATATTCATGAATATTTGTGACCTTCATTTTGGCATGTTCACATCCAGAGGTCAAGCAAAATACATATTTTACCATGATCATAGCCATCTATATTTAACATGAAATAAATCTTACTGCATACATCTGATTTTTCCTTTGATAAATCATATGGATTACAACGTACAACGTTGTAAGTCACATCTTGCAATTGTAGTACTGATATCTTGGTTTTCTAAGCTCACAATTATGGCAGAAAACCCCAACATCAAGCTATCACAGCTCGATAGCTCAATTACCATCTCTACAGAGACGCAGACTTACCGGACTTGTCCAGCTCTCGTGCCGCGGTCGCCGCTCGTTCGAGTCCCGTCGGGTCGAACTTCCACCCTCCCCCTCCCCCACCACCGCCGCCGCCTTCCGAACTGTCCGACGACCCCTTCCCCTTATCGTCCGGAGGGGGTGGGGGGTTCGCGAACTGGGTAAAGTCCTGTGGGTACTGGTCCTTCTTAACTCCGAACAGCCACGACATTGCGGCGATTTGTTGTAACCTTTCTGAGGAGAGAAATCTTTAGTGATGCAACTCGCACGTGCGGTTTCACCTCTGTTAAATCGCCGGGTAATCGCGCCTACGTAACAGTAGCACGTTGTACAGAGCATCAAAATTCGTTTCTCAAAAATTCGTTTTTCTCAAACCGTAAGCACTATAAGCAACAAACCATTTCAATCATAATTATTAAATCTTATGACTCTACGTTTTTTATATATATGACGTAAATTAAACATTTATGGGTGATTTCTTTCATTCATAATGGATAGTTTGCCAATAACGAGCTATGTTACTCTGGAGGATTTTTCAAGATGGCCGCGCCCATGGATTTTTGTGTGGCTGTGAAAAAAGAGGACGCCCAAAACGTTCGAAAGAAATTCGAAACGTCGGGCTTATTCGACAGATCAAGGAGGATTCAAGTCCTAACAGATGGAGAAGCCGTAATTCCCCTGAAGACTTGCTCATGCACAGAAATAAATGATGTTTTAGGAGGTTTGGAACACCGAGTTTTGGATGATGCCCCCCTCCCACCATCTAGAAGAAAACAACACATTTCCCCTCAACAACGACTGCGGACAGCCATCTCTAAGTTTTTGGACGCAGAAGAGTTCGATGACGAGCTGGGAAGGGACATTCCAACGAAATGGGAGAAACACGGGGACCTCATCCTTTTGCCAGATTTTTGTTTTAGGTGTGCCTCAGCATTGATGTTGATTTCTGCATGTTTATTTATGACTTTATGAAAAGAAACTGCTTCAGAACTTTCATTTGTGTGCAGATTAGTGCAGTTATGTTTCATAATGATAATGATTACAGCCATTTTAAGATTGCAATAAGTATATTTGTCCACATTTTTTTAAAATTTATTTCAGCTTACAAAGAAGCCAGGGTGTCCCAACTAGCCAAAGACTATATTACTAAGGGACTCCCTATTATATTCATGAATATAATATACAGTTATTTACTGGTTCTCAGGTCTAAAGGTATGGATTTGCAAGTTAGAAATGTTCCTTTTCAGATCTCCCAGATGGAGAGACATGATCCATGCTAAGGTTCACCAGCAGGGCTGTGAGAGTGAAGGACAGTTGTGTCAGATGTGTGGATGTTTCTGGCAGCTGGTAGCTGAGTCCCTGGGGGGCACCAGACTGGCCAGGAGAGGGAACATACAGGACGACCCCTACAGGTCACCCAGGATGGAGCTGTTGCTAGGTAACCATGGATGGGTGGAGCACACAGACAATGGGATCAGGTAGGTAGATAAGAAGTACAGTATATACATGTGTAACAGTTGGGTTCAAGCACTGCAGCACCTCTAAGTCTAACTGAACCATTCCAAAGGGTCCGGACCTTTTGGAGTTGTGGTTAGTGCACTGGTGTCACAAGCTGGCTGCCTGGGTTCAGCGTGGGTTTGATTCCCGGCGTCCCGGGAGTTTTCCTGTTTCTACTCGCTCCTAATGTTTCACATGTATGTTTAATTTTTATACAGGCTTTTGATACATGATGTCATTTGCGCCATGTTTGAGTACAATTTGCACATCTGCTCTACTGTACAGATCAACATGGCTGCCAGAGGATTCAAATTATAATTAATATGACACAAGCAAAAAGCCAGTACTTGTGGTTATACTATATGTTTAACCATGGAGTTAAAAGGAGGTTGAAATCTCCTACGCAGGAAGACCAGTTCTGCAAATGTATCAAACTAATTAATCCACTTGAGAGTGGATCATCATTAGACTGCCCCGCCCTGCCCCATGTGGGAGGAACCTAAGATATTCTTATGGTAAAACAGTGTTAAGAGGATAATTATTGTGTCCTGCCCTCTTTCTAACAACAATGGTAAAATTGCACAGTGTTTATCTCTTCTAAACATATGCAATTCATGAAATCTGCAGTCATGGCAGGTGGAAGAGTTTTCAGACTCAGCTGACTGTTACCAACTCTGATGAGTATAACTGTAAGGTCCAGGAATACCACCTCTAGTCCACAACAATTAATTTTCCTTGGTTCTCAAAAAAATCCAGAAACTAATGAATCAAAACTAGTATTGGGCTCAAAATGTAGAACAGTATGAATAGATGTATAACCTGAGTACATGAATAAAGTTGTTACTTTCGTGGAAGATTTCTTTGCATTGTTTATTTTCAGGTACACCTATGATGTGACGAGGTGCATGTTCTCTCCTGGTAACATCACAGAGAAGCTGCGTGTAGCCAGGATGGACTGTGAGGGGGAAACAGTCGTGGACCTATACGCAGGTTTGTATAATGGTTGTATATCACAGACAGTAGACACTGCACAGCTCTGTAAAATAATTTCGGGTTTTGTGAATCTCTTGATATGTTCAATCAATTGTTTATTTATTGCTGACCCTGTCTATGCACTGGCCCACTGACTTTCATTGTTATTGTTATTGAATGGACGGACTACTTTCTCGTTGCTGCCCATAAGGCAACAGACATGCGTATTGCAAGAAATTAAAGACAGAAAATGAAACAACCTTTTCTAGAACCTTTGACCTAACTTCCAGTCAATGCCCCTGATGTGCCATTTTCTTGTTCAGTTCCTGTAGATGACCATACATGTACCTTGCAGAAAACTGTAACCACACTTGAATGTTTATCCTGCAGGTATTGGGTACTTCACCCTGCCCTTCCTGGTTCATGGGAAGGCAGCAGAGGTGCACGCCTGCGAGTGGAACCCTGCAGCTGTGGAGGCACTGAGGAGGAACCTGCAGCTCAACAAGGTCCAGGACAGGTGGGGGAAAGGGATATTTGAAATTCTAACAAACAGGTGTATGCATCTGCCCATGGGTAGAACCACACAGATAAGAATTTGCATGGTTCAGGAGATGGGAGCTCATTTGAAACATAAATAGCCCTGCACAAGTGAAAAACTATCATACTATAATATTTTTAGAGTCTACAAAGAAAACTACTAGCTGTTTGCTTTAACCTCTGAATATGCTGGCAAAAGTCATTTGTATTTGGTACAATTGCACACTGCTATGTGTTAATCTATGCTTCATCTGTTTGTTGTACAGATGCATAGTTCACCATGGGGACAACAGAGAGGTGTGTCCGCGAGGCGTGGCAGACCGTGTAAACCTTGGACTGATACCCTCCTCCCGGGACGGCTGGCCCGTGGCTTGCGCTGCCCTGAGACCGGACACAGGAGGCATCCTGCATATTCACGAAAACGTCACGACTTTCCCCAAAAAGGGCTCAGGCAGCCATAAAACTGGCACTCAGGAAACAATGGCCACTACGAAGCCCACTACTTCAAATACATGTAACTTGAAACAAGATTCAGACCAGCATGTATGCACCGATTTTGAGAAAGATTCACACAAAAGTAAAGGTGCTTCTTGCCAACATACTAGTAACCTGTGTAGTTGTAGCAAAATTGAAAATCTTTTAGATAAATTTTCTGGAAATCAACATCTACAGAAAGGAGTGAATGAAAGCCAAAGATGCAGCGACAAATGCAAACATGGTTGCCATGAAGTATGTTGCAGGAAAGAAAAGCAAGCAGGTACTTCATCTTCAGATAGTTATGAAGATCTTCAAACCAACGAACAAAATACTCAGGAAGGCAATACAGAAAAGACAGATGCGTCATGTTTTCCTGCCAGTCAAGATAGACAAACACAAAAGACAGATTCGAATTCTGTGAAAACAAGAGCTACATCTGTAAAGGAGGAATGGAATTGTTGGGCTGAAAGTGTTGCTGACAATGTGCAAAGCATGTTGATGGAGATACAAGGAGGTACATGGCAGACAAAGGTTTTACGTATTGAACATGTGAAGTCATATGCACCACATGTTGACCATCTTGTAGTGGATTTAGAATGTAGACCTTTACAGACAAACTGAGATGTGCAATTTTATTATCTTATCAATAAAAATCATAGAAATGTCATAATCTATTTTCTAGTCTCATTTTTACTTAGAAGGGTTGTGCTGGGTCAGGGTTAACAAAAAGAAAGGGGATTCTATAAGCACAGTATACTGAAAGCACAACATACTGAAGCAACATAATGCAGTAATGACATGAATTGCTAGGTGGCGCAGTTGCAACGTCTGAGCCACTGCATGGAGTTCGTTTTTGAACCTCCTTGTTTGAACCAACCAGCTTGTGAAGAAAAAGAAACACAAATTTATTCAATGACTGAAGAAAATAACAAGCCTCTTGGAGGGATTTGCAACAATAATAAGCAAGTTGTGCGTCATTTCTAACTAGTGTTTCCGGAAAGAGTAATTGAAGTGTGTTGTGAGTGTGCAGGAAGTCTTGACTCATTGTTTGCTCAAGGCAGGTGTACTCTCCAAGCAGAGGTGAGAGGGAGAGAACGTAGGATATTCCGACATGGCTAGCTAAGGGAGGCACATTTCCCTCTCACAGAGGGAAATGTGCCTCCCTTAGCTAGCCATGTCGGAATATCCTACGTTCTCTCCCTCTCACCTCTGCTTGGAGAGTAGGCAGGTGCAGACCAAGCCTGTAGGTCTTTCCTACGATCCTTGGTCATAAAAGACATGTAACTCTTAGTACAGGCATGGAGGTAGAAAATCACCTTCATGGTACGTACAGGGAAAGGATTAATATTCCAAATCACAAGTTCAATAGTCCATCAAATTTTACAGTTAAAATCTCACATTTCACTATTCGTCTATTGTACCAAAGTAAACCTCACATTTCACTATTGTACCAAAGTAAACCTCCGAATAAGCTTCTTCCCTGTAATGTTTTTCTAATGCGTATATATATACGCAAGAAAGATATTATTAAAAACAGATAAAAACAGAACGCTTATGCCTGGAATCGAAAGTTATTCTATGTGAGCATTCGGGGCAAGCAGGTTTCTTGGTGAGAAAACTAAAGACTTTCCTTGAAATTTGTGGTCAAAAAGAACACAAACTTCGCATTTATGTAGGTCATCTAGGTTGTGATTAAGAACCACAAAGGCCATTTCCTTGTTCCGGCGATTTAAAGCTTAAGGCTCTTATCGTGACAGGTGTGTGACCCCGCCCATTCGCCTTTATTTATTATGCCCATGGTGATGTGACGTTTCTTCGTGGCTAGGCTTAGGGCAATTAGAGGGTCTTTACGGAGGTTTTGAGTACACCCAAATAGCCATTTGTGAAAATATATAGAAGTAAAAAACATTCAAACAAATATCTTCATTCTATTAAACTATTTGAAGACCGTTTGGCGTTATGAGACAGATATTATAGGCCTTGATAGTGCGAAAAGATTGAGTTTTATGTGCGGAAAAGCCGCATGGAGAACCTCATATGCGGACGCCATCTTGAACGAGTAGCTCCGCACGGAAATATATCGACCATCACGGCGAACTTTCGTCCCGTCTTCACGTCGGATCGAATTTCTCGGCGCTGTTGACATCAAAACGTTTGAACTTATCGCACACAGTGTCTCGGATATTGACAACACAGAAGGAATACTGCAGGCGTGGATTGTACGTCGTTTTAGAGACGAAAAACTACCGCGACTCAAGGCTTTCTGATTTGGGACACTTGGTTTGGGACGTCCCGTACTAAGAACACTTTTAGTTTCTTGAGTCTACGGATTTAAACTGTGCTCCTTACGTGGTGAACGTCACACGATGGTGAGCTAAATAGTCCCCAGACTTCTAAAAGACTTGAAAGTGACTCTAGGGAGCGAAAAATCCAACTTTCTGAGATGTACAGGTAGCGGAAACCGCGAGTCGAAGATGTCAGAAAGGTGAGTGTACAGAGGGGAGGGGGGGGTAGAGAGGGACTAGCATATAAACTACCGGTAAAACACACAAAACTACACCTCGTCAAATAATCTTTTTACTTCGAAATTGTACAAAACAGGAGATGAAGATCATACTCTAACTTATGGAATGGTTAGATTGTTGTATTCGTCTGAAATAAGACAGTAAGCTAACATCAATTTTACCAAGGACATTATACAGAATGTGTATAATGTCCTTGATTTTACCATGAAGAACGCATGTTAGCATGCAGCCTCTTGGGAGTACTAGTAATTAGACATGTCTGGTGTAACCACATTTATATTTCAAGTCATACATTTTCATACAGGTTTACCGCTTGTGCGTTGTGATCAGTACATACTAGTAGCTGACTTGGCCACATTTTCCTAGATTTACTAGAACAAAATTATAAGTTAATACGGTGTCTTACAAGATTTTTACCCAATCTAAATTATTCTAATGTTACATGCAAGGCAAAGTTTGATGTATTTTAGAAAGGTAAAGTTAGAGTGAGTTTTAGAAAGTCTGAGTACATTTAGATTGATTATATGGTATAAAAGAAGAAGGAGGTGGGAAAATTACTGTGCCTATTTTCGATGCCATTATAATTTGCAGTTTAAGGACTCCCCAGGGACTTACAGTTCTACCTGCTAGACTGCTTTTTCCTGCATATGTCAGATCTAATCAATTTAAAATTAACCAAATTGCTAGTAAGCCATGGGGAAATCTGCTCATAATTGTCATGATGAGTTCTCCCAAGCTAGCTGGGAGTTTCGTTTTTACTAGTACATTTACAACTAAAACTTTAAAGGTAGTAAAGTCAGGAGCTTTAAATGTCTGAAGTTTATGTCACTGTTTCATGATGGACAAAAATATCTTGCTACTTGTATATATGAATGATTGTCCATTACCATACTCTGTTTCTTGTTGGTACAACATGTAGGTTTAACATATACCTTGTACATCACAAGTACAAGTCTTGTGACAACAATCTGCTTAGTATATTATTGGTAAACACGACCCAAGAACTTTCTCACGGGAGAAGGTGTTAGACCAGTCAGGTGTATACAGGTGTTTTTAAACTTACATTCTTGTTAGGGATTCAAGGGTTTTTCACTGACACACACAAAGAACATTGTGTGTTTGTTGTTCTAAGGCATTCTAGTGTGTCTACCTTTCTGTAGCAATCACAGTTTTCTACGTACCCAGATCTGTTTTTCCATCATTTGAGTCTTTTTGACAGAATTTTATTTTATTTGCTGCTCAATGCAGACAAAGATCTGTATTGCCCCAAACAAGGCGACACTGACAGATACTAGTAGCCCACTGAAATATGGACAGGTGAAACACGGGTTGTCACAGTGTAAACAGGGGTCTCCCCAGAAATTTCTAGGGGAGAGGTGCACCTTAGTCGGTTGATGTCGCCCCACACAAAAAAATCAGCAAATTTTCAAGAAAATACAAAGAGAAAATACTAAATTTGAATATTTTGGGAGAGGTGCTAGGCTTTGGGGAAAGGGGAGCCATCTTGCTTCATTGCTTGGGGAGATCCCTGGTAAAGAACTCTCTGTTAACCAGCTGTAGTTACATGTTGGTTGAACTTGACTCAGTGGGGTAACTCTGACATGGGTTGTTGGTAGTGTTGTACCTCCCCTACCCAGAAGTGTTGACATACGATCGCTCAGCTTTATCCTCAGCAGACAGCCGTGACTACCTCCATAGTGACTGACTATTTGTAGACAAACCTGTCACAACACTGATCATTTTGCTTTCTTGTTGGCTTTCCGCCAGCTTTTTCTCTCACAGTGATCTCTATAGAGCACAAGAAGAGTTTTTGGCCAGAAAAAGCTACAACTTTAGTGTCTGTACAATGCAGCAGCACTGTGTGGTATGAGCATAGAGGCAAGCCCTTTTGTGTCACAAATTGTTAAGCTCCAATAACGCATGGCTAACCCTTACACAACAGTCATGTGAAACAAGAGACTATCATGTTTACTTCCAATGTAGCAGTCAGAGCAGACAGAGTTCCCTACAAGCGAAGTGAATTGTATCATGTTAAAGGTAATGTGGCCAAAATCTATATTGATTCGTGTGATAGTTTTAAAAGGTTTAATAATATGTTCTCAAACATTTCTAGTGAATATAGCAAGAGGTTTCCATGAAAACAAATGGCTTAGAGTGAGCGGAAAACTTGAATCTTGTGCTTGTATGTTCACCCGACCCCCAAAACTATGTTTTGGTCTTCCAGTTCAGCATTATATTTCTAGGATTCAAGAGCCAACAAAGGAAATTTGTGTGGCTTAAATGGGTTTTCAATCACTGACAAAAGCACTGTGACAGTGTATTACATTGTTGCCTTCCACTGTGACATAATAATGCTCACTGATGCAAACATTGCGTGCAAAAGTATGAAAGCAAACGAAACATTCCATCAGCTATCAGCTAGAAAGATACATGTACATGTATGTTTAACTTTTGCTGTTACTGTTAGTCTAAATCAACAGTTTTAAAAGCAGTCTACTGTTTCATTTCCTGGTATCACTTTTGGAATTGAGGCATTTGCACAAGAATCAATGCATTGCGTGCAAAAGTTTGACTTCTTTAGCCCTAAAAAATCTATCAGAATATTATTAGAAATTATACTGGGTATGTTTAATGTATGTTTAACCAAGGAGCTTCCATCAATGTCCTTGATCTGAGTAAATCAGCAGTTTTAAATTAAAATCATTTTTTACGATTGAGGCCTATGCACAACAACAAATGTAATATAAAAAAGTGAGGTCGTTAGCCTAGCAAATTTAAAGGTCACCATGAATTACAATGTGTTCCGCCAGTTCCGGTAATTGCTTCCAATCTCCTGGGTTCCCAACAAGAAGGAGCTGATAACAATGTGGTTGCTCTGGTGGTTTCAAGAATGATAAGGTGTTAGCATATAGTAATGGTTAAAAAAAGTTGGTTACTACCTCAGAGTGGTATCAATTTAAAATCCTTCATGAAAATTCAAGGCAGTGACATTGGCATTTACTGAAAGAAACTATCTAGAGTATTTTTCCTACAATATTTGGTGACAAATTTGTAAAGAGTAATCTGGAATGTAGTTCACACCTGTTCTATAGGACTGGTTTTGATAATCCCCATGGAAATTGGAACATTCCTACATCACCTAGTGATGCGGATATTCTGATGCTGTTTTCCTCGTCATGTTTTGTTGTTGTTTTATAACTTCACTTTGTTCCATCACTTTGTCTCTTTATGTTATTGCAAACTTGAGATACAATTTTGCCATGTACACGTAAGAGATTGCCTCTTAACTCAAGTTAAAAGCGTTGCTTACTAGTACTTAGGGCCTAGCATAAGGCCTAGGAAAAAAATGTTGTGTTTCCTGTTTCCCGACCGACCCTAGAAAAACCTGCAAGGGACATAATTTTTCAAGCTGATCAACCTTAACTTTTTCAGCTCCGTGATTTGACATCTGAGTGATAAAAGGCTGTACAATTGGTTTTCTAACATTGACATTGAAAATAAAAGTATCCTCATGCAAGTTTTACTTTGTTAAACTGAGTTGGACCCCTATACAGAGTCTGAAGTCTAAAAAAAAAAAGACAATAGCAAAAGAAGATAACTAGCACAGAGGTCACACCGGACCAGTGCTTTTGTTAGATGTCCTTTCAGCATTGGTATGCACCAGACAAAACCACCCGCTGACTTCTACACACTTTTGGTAGATTTATACTCCTACTGTCCTTAGTTATGCAAACCTGAATGTTCGACTTTGCTCCTTCCTACCCATGGATGTTGAGTGCCATTTTTTCATTGTTTGCTTGGTTTTAGGCTGCCTATTCATTGAGCTTGATATGTGCACGTATGTGTATGTGACATTGTATTAAAAACTTATTTATTTTCGTGTCTTTAGTTGGTACTTGATGTTGAAACTAAATGCATTTTGTGTGCTATAGAATAAGATAATACAATTGTAGTTGTATCACATATTGGTAGTACTGAACATCATCTGCAAAAACAATTACTTGGTAAGTTGGTTGTCCAAGAAAACTCTGAGTCTGAATCCAATACAGCAAATTCTATGAATTTTACAATTGTTTTTTATCAGCTATGGTAGAGGTACTAACTCTTCGTTGACATTCATTCTTTTTCATTGTACACGTACAAATACCTTGGATATGAACAATATCTTATGAACAAATTCAATACTTACATGTACTTACTTGAACAATGCAATAATATCTTATACTGACTATAATACTCAAGGGAAATGTATGTCCTTTTGCACAGTGGGTACTCGTAAACAAGGTTTAAATCTGCCTTCAACTGTAGTAACCTTCTTGTCTGGAGGTGTAGTGTGCCGTGCCCCAAACATGTAAGAGGTTAATGATGTCTATTGTGAGCTGATCTGGGGCTGTAATACACGCCATAAAATAATCATGATGTTGTGTAGAGCGACTTGTAGACATGTCATAAATTATAGACATCAACCTTTATCCTACTAGACTGTGGGTAGAAATATTCTATAACCATTCTTTCCAAGTCGAAGGTACATTTTGTAAATATATATCAAGTGAGAACAGTTTTGAATCTCTACAAAATTTTTCTGCACATTGATACTATAACCAAAACGAGCGATACTACATATTCTTTGTATCTGGCCTCTTGTAAATTTGAATTTATGGTTATATAGTTTTCAGATACAACTGCAGTTACGTAAACTGTTATTTACTCAAGGCATTCTTGCTAACATTGTGAGTTTGCCTTGCGTGACGTTGGCGTCATAGGTGCATAGAGCAAGGGGGCGCGCCGGTCAATCTTTACAATAGACCTTGGCATTAATTGATTATGAAACAGATGTATGTTGATAGTAGGGTGATAGGTACATTCGTACATCAAATCATTATGGTATACGTGGGAAAATATCATTATGTACACTATGGGTGAAATGTATTGTATACTTTAGGCTTAGTATCAGTCTTTGCAACTGTCACCAAATTTGTGACTGCATATAGTACATTAGCCAAAGTACAAGTGCACAGTACAATACTCCAATTGAACTTCACAAAGCTCTATTGTGTATCTCCATATGATGATTGTCAATAAGTATAAAATATTAATAACATGATAAACCTTTGAGTAACTTGTCAGAATTCATATCATACAGGATATTAAAGACTGCAACCCAATGTGCAGGCAAAATCAGAATTGTGGCCACAATACTAAGAATATGGAATGGTACAAAAATATAGTAAAAAAGTTTACATTATGAAGTTTTTTTTACTTTTTTACAACTTAAAGATTACCAACATTTTCCAAAAAATTGTCATTATCGTCAGTTGACATAATGAACTTTTTACTTTTTTACAATTTAAAGATTACCAGCATTTTCTAATAATTGATTTGTCATTATTGTCAGTTTACATAATGACTTTTTTTTACTTTAGTTTTAATTTTTACAAGTCAAAAATTACCAACATTTTTAAACAATTGTCTTTATTTTCCCCCCAGTTCCTCTATAGGCACCAACAGTAGCAGTGGTCTGGGAACCATCCAGAGTTCCCAGTCTGGCTCCAGTGACTACAGTGACATCAGTGGCACCACAGTCCCTCTCATCCTGGTCACCTCACACAGGGATGACTCTACCAGCAAACTGGGCAGTCAGGCATCCTTCAAACAGGTAGGAAAATAATTCAGACTGGAAACTTTTCTCTAACTTTATAAAAGTTATGGAAGTCTGACCAAAGTACAAAATTCTGATATCATTTTGCTCCTGACTCCCTTTTTGAGTTAATTTTACTAAATTTTTAGTCTTGATGGAAAGTTTCAAAGTTTTTAAACTTCTTGTCCCAGCTTCTTAGGTCAGAAAACTTTCTTTTTTTTTCAGTCAATCGACATGTAGTTTAGGATAGAAATTATATGAGACATACATGTAACAGTTAGTCTGGTTTACCGGACAGTGCGTGAGTACAGATATTTGGGTCGTTGTCTTGAAATTGTTAGAAATGGTGGTCCTGTAAATTCTAGCCTGAAGTTATGCTTTCATGCACATTTCATGTACCATCTAGAAAACATGCCGTGCCTAGTGAGCTAGCCCAAATTGTGTTAGCTGTTGTTGAAAGTGCAGGGGTGTAGTACTAGGAACACTACACCTGGCTATGCGTCAACAATCATTCTGTGTTCACTGCCAACAAATAAGGAGATTACGTTTTCTAAAGACAGGGTCTTCCTGTCCAAACAGCGTAGTCCATCCAGAGTGCTTGTATTACCCTGTCGTATGTTCTGCGCACAAAAACGTTTGAAAGTGGACCTGTCGAAAGAGAAATGAGCAGGTGTAACATTTCGCGCATCCAAGAAAAGGACGACAATCGAGTTTCGTTTGTCGTGACTTGCTCAGGTCGGCACAGGGTGGCGGAATGTCACGTAAAAAGCTGTTGACGTGGTCACCACGGTGACAGGATAAACATAGATTTAAGTTCTTACAAGCCCTGAGGTCACTGACCTATATATAGAGCCAGCTTGTCTGTCGAGTTAAAACTATAATTGCTCAGTCATCTATGCAGGAAAATGAATTGCTTTAAAATGAAAAGCTATACTAAAAGTAATTTGTTACTGATTGGAAAAACACACTCATATTTTGAAGCAGATCTTACTTTGCCATTAAGAACCTTTTATAGTCTGCTTGACCTTCATGTACTAACAGTTATTGACAGGTATGAACTACAATTGGCACCACACCTGTGCAAAATTAGGTACAGTTACAGGGACAGTCAGTACTAGTGGTTCAAAGTTTTCAACTCAAGAAGGTTACATGTGCTGTACTCTGAGCCTGATACAATAGGCTATAGGTAGAAGGAGGAAGTCCTTTAGTGATTATATGGATAATATACTCCCTAAAACATTTTTAGTACATGTACATATACTTGCATTGTATGCAAACAATATACAGGTTCTAACCAGTGTACTGGTACACAGCTTGAATGGCAGAATTAGTTACATGCAGACTACATTATGACTATGTCATGCTTATAAAACTGTTGTTCCCTCAACCAGCTGCCAGCCAACAGATACTGCTACACATCCTGGCACGAGGTAAAAAATGCAGAAGTCAAGGGTGACCAGCTCAACTGTCCACGGATCAGAGAAGGTAGGAGCACTGGCAAATTTGAGCAGGAATACTTCGAAGGAAAAATGTACCTATATTTCATTTCTAAAAGACTATTTCAATTTAAAACCTCTAGTACTCTATATACTAGTGTTGGATATGCATTTTTTATTGGAAGGATGATACAATACGATGTATAGGGAAGGATAAAATAATGTTGGAGAATGGATGAAAAAAAATTTGACCGGATTTAATTGAAGAAAACTGCTCTACATAAGTACCAAACTTACACACATTTGAGGCAATCGTTTACTTTAACATAGGACATAATTAACAATGTACTTTGTCCATTTGAAATGTATGTCTAGAGAAAAGAAACTGCAAACTGAGCAATTTGATTGTTTGTTCATCGTAGGTCCGAGAGAAAAAGAGCGTACGTTTTACTCCCTCCGTGACGAGGATGGGAACCTGGTCCACCATGACAGGAGAGGGAAGAAACGCATGGACTACAGGAACAAGATGGAGAACTGGGAAAATGCAGTGGTGAGGGATATCTGTTTGTTTGTTTGTTTCTTTGTCTGTTTGTTTATAATGTTATAGATATTTGAGGTTACTCCAATTTTTTTCAATAACAAACAAAATAATAGTAAGAGAATTTCTTTGGAGTTTTTAATAATGCATGGTGTAGAAGGTACATACAGTCATGTACACATGTAAGTTTTAGATAATCCAATGAAAAATTTTTAAAAAGTACAGATAGACCAAAAAATTGCCAACTTTATTTTCAAGCATTAGATTTAGCGAAAAAGGTATTTTGAATAGACCAAAAAGAAGAATTAGCCAAGAGCATTTAATAGGGAGTTGTATTGGGACATGTCCCTATTACTTAAATCAAAAGATTGTACATTGTACATTACACTGACTTTACAAATAGGTGTTGATGCTTTTTCTTCTTCTCCTTGTTCAGTCTGTCAACTTGTCCTTCCAAGACCTGGGCGACGCCTACCAGCGTGAGAACTTTGTCAGAGTCTTAAAGAGACTGATCAGGACGGAGGAGTTACAGCTGATGGACAACTCACTAACGGACGTACACACTGTTTCCTTGCCAAGGTACATGCACTATTTATTTATTTATTTATTTCTGTTTTCTTTATACAGGGTAGGCGCACGCAGTACAATAGACTGCTTTACAGGTGTGCCCTGTACAGATAGACATAAACAGCAACAACAGTAAACAAAATAACACTATCATGTTTCTCTTCTGATTTTCTATAAGATTTTCAATCCTAAGTACATGTATCTTTGTGTAATTGAATATATGTAGTTTGGAGTCTTGTTTTACAATAATTGTACTGAATTGCTTGAGTTGCTTGGCTGATTTTTTTTCTCTTTCTTATTTCAGGTGTAAATATTTGAATTTGAGCAGAAATTTCATCCCGTCATTTAAGGTAAGACTTACATTGTTGCAATTACAAAGTAACTTTTTAACAAATACAAGTTTTGTTTCTTATAAACTTAATTCTGTGATTGTGCATGTTGCATTATATACACTGACAGTGTTGTTTGTTTGTTTGTTTGTTATTTAGAAGTTGCCCAGGTTACCGGTGGTGGAACACCTGTATCTGGAACAGAACAACATCAGTTCGTTGGACGGTTTGGATGTTTTGAGACGAGCCCCGCTCCAGTCCCTCCATCTCAGGAGTAACCCTGTGTCTTTCTCTGTCAACTACAGGCAAAGGTGAGAATATAATGTACATGTATTGGCGTCGGGTGGCGTAGTGGTAGAGCGTTCGACTATGAAACGGGGAGACCCGGGTTTGACCCCGAGTTGTACCCGGGACATGTCTGGACATGTGCCCGACGTTGTGCCCTTGGGAAAGAGGCTACGTTGCGTGTGGCGAAACCATTTTTTGATGATACATGTAACTAGCAAGAAATCTTGAATATTTTACCAGCATGATAGTCTTAAAAATGGCGCTGGCTAGGCCAACTTTACTGCTGGACTTGCTTTGAGTCAAGTACAAATGTAGTAAAGATGGTCTGTGAAAATATTGCCATGCTTTCTTTCATGCTTTCCATGCTTTCTTACTTTTCAACTTTTGTTTGTGAAGTTTTAGGTAACGGTTATATTTCATGTACGGGCATGGTACATGCTACTTGTGTCTTGTACACTTGAAGAAAAGTTTTAATAGTGTGCTAATGTCCTTTTTTCTTTCCCTCTCTTCTTGCAGAGTTTTTCAGATCTTGCCAAGCTTGAAGTCCTTAGATGGAGTAAAAAGACTTCCGTCCGATTCTGTGTTCGACTCAGAAGAAGAGCCATCTAGGATGTGTGTCATCTGCTAGCACGCTGTTAGACTGGATCACAGACATTTGAGATGCATCTGTTAGTAAGAATCGAAGACATTCGGGACACAGCTGTTAGTCTGGATTGCAGACTTTCAGTATGCAGCTGTTAGTCTGGACGGCAGACATTTAGGATGCAGCTGTTAGTCTGGATTGCAGGCTTTTGGGGTGTCATACTAACAGAAAAACATTAAGTGCCAGTCTACAGAGGCCATGAAGAGACATTACAAGGAGCTGGACTAGCTTGTGTACTCAATGATGCTGGGAGAGCAAAACTATTTTATGCTGTAAATTTTTATGTAAAAAGTTGAATTTTTGAATGTGTAAGAAGAGGAACAAAGTTCTCTTGTTTGTGCAAATATTTCTAAATGGAATGTCTTTCTTAAGAGTAAATCTGAATGTAAATTTTTGTACTTTTTATACCTTCTTCAAACTTAATAAGGGATGATATGCAATCTTAGAGAAATGGGTATCTTCAATCTTCTCCTAACACTATGTTCCAAATCGTTGATATGACTAAGTGGCATACATGTTCATGTACATGTATTGTCTTGTGTGGGACATATATTGGGCATATGGATACATACTTTCTTTACTGTGGAAATTGATGATTTAAGTACCTAAAGCTTTATACATGTATTTTCATTCACATTCTCCTCTAAGTAAAATTGTCTTATAATTTGTACAGCCATGTATTGATTATTGACACTACATCCAGTGTTTTTTTAGATAAAAAGTATTTACATGTGTTGGTGTGTTTTGTACTTGTACATTTATAACTCACAAATGTATCATGTTGTTATAGGTTTAAAAGAAAAAGCATTGTGTTTTCTTGTCTGAAAAACTACTTTAGCTGACCAACTCCCCTGCCATGTTATCTGTCTATTTGGCCAATTTCTACTCTTTCCAGCCACTCCTGAAGCCTGCTATCCCATCATTTGGATTCTGATGTAGACTATGATTATGTGCATTGTGCAGAAATGCACACAGTAACTTATTTGTTTGCTAGGCTCAAAATATCTTTGGTTCCTGCCCTTTGGCCTGTAGTACATGTACATTGTATGTTGGGCAACAAAAACCAATAGAACAGTTCTATGCAAATGCCACAGGGTGCCCTAGCATTGTATCACCTGCTCCACAGTTGTAGCATACTGTTAACATCAATAGTACTATCCAAGCATGTTAATTTAGGCCATTCTAGTAGTTAACAGGTCTTTGTACTCTTTGCAATGTTTGCGTGGGGGCAGCTATTAAGGGCTAACATTTTGTTGGACCAGAAGAGATTCGCTACAACTAAAAATTGAAACTAAATAATCAATATTTTGTAATTGGAATTTGTAATGTATGTGCAAACATTTTCAACCACTTTGTGATGTTCAAGTTTTTTTCCTTATAGATTTTCTAAAAATGCATCTTTGAAACATGTAATAAGAATGGGAAATACATGCAATGAATAAGAAATATGTCAACAGAGATTGCAGCATGTTTCTAAGTGCAGTTTGTATAATTAATGTACATATTAGATTGTTACTTCTGTATAAAGTATCCCTCAGCAGTCTGTACAGTGCAATGTTTCAATCTATTGACTTTTATCACTTTTGGAATGGAAAATATATTTTCAAGCATAAAATGACAGTGTGTGTTGTCTGTATTTTGGATGACGAGTGGATTGTCAGAGAAGTGTTTGTATGTTCAGAATCAATGTATGAATCATGAATAATTCACAATCTAAAGTGAGTGTTCATGTTCATTGATTGAATATGAACTGAACTGCTGAATGGGTTATTTATCAACTACATGTACCTTTATATAGTACGACAAAGAAGTTGTAAGTCAAATTCCAGTCAGCTCAGCTGCATCTCTCCTGCAAAATAGCCACATGAAAACTTTTAGACGAGAAACCAAAGTTGACCATTTTTTTAGGTTTACGGTCTACAAGCGCCATCTAGCGGAATGAATCAGCAACACAACATATGTTGCGGTCTGGAGCGGAACTGCAGAAAATGTAATTCTGATAGGGCATATTAGGCCACACTGATTTAATTATATGGATGACATCCTCTGGGGACCACAAAACTAATGCGAGAGGGCGAAAAAAAATCCAGCCAAAAAAAAATGCTGCTTAACCACAGGAATACAAAGCCGATAATGCGGATTGAACCACAGGACACAGTGACTGCATCAAACAAACAAGTCTTTATTTGCAGGAGGTAGATGTAGATAGTCTTATTCTGGTCTCATCCTCCTTCACAGCTTCCTCCTTCACAGCTTCCTCCTTCACATCTTCACAGCTTCCTCCTTCACAGCTTCCTCCTTCACAGCTTCCTCCTTCACAGCTTCCTCCTTCACAGCTTCCTCCTTCACAGCTTCCTCCTTCACATCTTCACAGCTTCCTCCTTCACAGCTTCCTCCTTCACAGCTTCCTCCTTCACAGCTTCCTCCTTCACAGCTTCCTCCTTCGCTGTTTTCTCTTCCCACAGAAAAACGTAAAAGGTATTGCTTGACCTACATTGTAGGTAGATATAAACATTATATATACAGTATATAGTTTATACTTAATACCCTGTAGAAGTGCATGTATACAACAAGGGGATTGATTTCAGATAAAAGTTTGAGATCAATAGTAATTCTTACCTCAAAGGCTCACTTCTGCTGACAATCTTCGCTTTAGTTGTTGCAGTTTTGTCAACAACAAATTATACGGACAAAACAGTCGAACTGAGCAGTTACTCAAGCAACGGGATAAGGAAGCTTAAACGGGGGGATGCGTCTATTTACTTGATATTCATAATCATTTTTGAGTGTCTAGTTTGTTATTTTTATTTCCATAATGTACAAGTGGCGGTCATGATTTACTAGTAAGTTGTGCACAACTTCATTCCACCGTCACGTTGTCTTTGTCCTCTTACTAGTATTTGCTTCAGATGCTTTCTTGGAATTAAAAAAAAAATTACGGTCTGTGGTGACCGTTGGGCAATCTGGCGTTCTACATCGCGATATGAATAATTTGTAATAACGTTTGACAAAATGATGTGCTACGTAGAATTAAAGCGACTTGATTACCCATCTGGAATAATTTACCGACAACGCTTAATGTTAAACAAAGCCGACCTGCTACGATTAACGGTGAATTAGAACAACTCGTTACGGCTCACGGAAAAAAGCACACAGACCCTCTTTCGAATACATTACCTAGAAACGTGTGTAACACTAAGTTGTCACATGTACGGAACCACACACTGCATTCAGCATTGAATGCCGTAATCTACAAGCATATGCCTGTCGGCAAAAGCGTTACAGCTAGAACTGGCCATCTAGAGAGAGTCCTTGGCCGACCCGGTAGCTAATATAAATGGACACTCCTCTGGCCAATTGATACAGTCTTGCCACCGCACCGTAGGATCTGCTTTGAGATTACTAGCTAGAATGGCAAGCTCGAGCGACAAGGCAGAACATCAGTGACAAGAAAATAGATCTTCTTGTCAGGATCCAAAATAACTCCAAACAGAAACTATACGTTAATTTCTGCATCAGTGAACCAGTAGACAGAACGACAACTCCAATCACAATTCGCTTTGCCCGTATTATTTCTTGACAGGAATTCAAAATGACCCTAAACGGAAACTACCAGAAATACTTAATCAAGCAACGTTAATTTTTGCATCAGTGAGCCAGTAAATAGAATGACAACTCCAATCACAATTCCCTTTACCTGCATCATTTGTTGACAGGAATCCAAAAATAACTCCGAACAGAAACTACCAGCAATAAAACAACCTTCATTTCTGCATCAGCTAGTCTGTAAACACAACGACAGCTCCAGTAAGGATTCGCTTTGCCTGAATCATTTCTCGACAAGACTCAAAAATAGCTCCAAACAGAAACTATAACAGCAATCAAACAACGCTAATTTCTGCATCAGTGACTCAAAAACAGAACGGCAACTTCAATCACGACTCGCTTTGCCTGGGGTATTTCTTGACAGGACTCAAAAATAGCTCCAAACAGAAACTGCACCAGCAATCTAGCAACGTGTACGGGCGATTACGTCTTAGCAACAGCGATTACTTTGTTATTGAGTGAAAGGTTCGTAGTCAATTTGCCTCAGTCCATTGGAGAGTACGTACACGTATGTTTCCTTTGAAATATCATATTATGATGAAGTGAGCACGACACAGTTCCATTGGAAAAAAACACCCTGCGGTATAACCTGGTTATCAAAGCCAGCCATGGTGACAACATATGGGTGGAAAAAACTAGTGATTAACCGAAATAACGTTTGTCAGCAAAGATTGAATGAAAGACCTCTTTTTATAAGAACTAGACACCATGTCCAAATGGTCTATAGCTAATACGTCCATTGGAGGCAGATAAATTGCAAGTACTTAATTGTTTCAATTTTGGAAGAAAAACTAGCCAGCATGTCCAAATTGTCACTGTGTCCATTTGATTACAGACGCGAATGAAATTCAGTCTCCATGCGTCGGCTGTCCCAGTATGTTTGATTGTATAAAACCAGCCTGTAGCCGCCCTGTACGTTATTTTTCCAACTTTTCATCTCATATAACGCACACACACTGCTGACTTACTCCCGAATGGTTGGCTGGTGTTCTGCAGACTTACATGAACCAAATACCAGCCAGAACCATGGCAGAACCTCCCGACCATCCCCGAATGTTTGAAACATACCTGCTCTTAACTTTATACCATTACTAACAAACAAGAAGAAACCGAATTTACTTAATTGTAGCTATTTAACTATGTATATATGTAACGTTATCTGTACTTAACCCAGTGGGTATGTGTGTACAATAAAGGTTTTCATTCATTTAAACATTTTTGCTGGCGTAGTCGAACAGTAGCTGACCTTGTCAAAGATCAGCCGACCTCGCTGCCGACCTACTCCTACTCCTAGCCATGGTTGGCGGGCGTACAACTAGTGGTCGGGAGTCCAAGTTCGTGAATGTGTAACAAGTCTTTCGGTGTAGTAGTAGTCCTAGGCAAATAAGTGGACCCTCTATGGCTGGCCAACTCCCCTGGCCAGCTACATTCATTTTAGGCCGATTTCTACTAATTATTCAGCCTGCAAATGAGTCTGGTGGATACTAGTAATATAGCCGGCTGCCGCCGCGCCGCGTGCCTGCATGCGAAGCTAGTGTGTTACCCCGAAGGGCAGTGATACCGGCTGTACAGATACAGATACAGATACAGATACAGATACAGATACAGATACAGATACAGATACAGATACAGATACAGTCCATCAAAAGATGCACACGCGTAGACTGAAGAACTGGTACCGTTACGAAACGACCTTCACATTGGCGCATGGATCCTTCCCATGTGCTGAAATTAAATCACATGGTCCGTCTGGAATGTTCCTCTGTTTCGCAGATAACCTAGCAACGATTCAAAACTGTGCATGTGGTTTATACATATCATATTAGAGCAGCCTCGAGCGTAAATAGCTCCCAAATGATGCTATTTTTTTTCTTGAGACGGAGATACAGTTACAGACTGAAAACTGTAAACTCTAACCATTTAAGAAAAAAATCTGATTTAAAGTACCACAAATTAACAGGAAAAGACATTAACAGGAACACCACATCTACAGTGAAGCTTAATTTCAGATTGTAAAAGTCTGGTGGTATATAGAACTGCTTGGAGCGATAGGTCACTTGCGTCATTCATTCTTTTGATGCACTCGTCGGCGGATCTGTTTGAAATTCAAAAATCTATTCGATAGCATTTAAACCGGCGCAAAGGCCTTTCATGAAAACGAAAATACATGTAGTGCAGAAAAGTCTTGTCTCTCCTGTCCAGTTTTCCTTTTTGTTTTGGATCATGATTTTGTTATAACCAATTAGAAACGGACCTTTCACGCTTTTGTAACCAGGTGCACTTTATTTTTAGTTTTTTTTTACGTAAACGTTACATTTAGCTCACGTGCGCACGAACGTGTCAGTAAAGATGATTCAATAATCTATATCTTTGATCTTTTATTCAATGAAGACGAATCCCGCTACAGCAAGAAGAGAGGAACCGGCAAGCTATGACTTCAATGCAGCCCTGAGAATTTGTTTGTTTGTTTGTTTCTTTCTTTATTTCACCAGGGGAAACATATATAATGCTCTAGATATGATGTTTTACGTAATAAGCTTTTCACTTTTTCGAATCAAGTTCAATAGATATCAACAGACTCGGTGTTATATATAGACAGATTTATATACTAGTATTCAAATGCAATAACTCTCACAATGCAAAAATAGCTAAAGACATAAAAGACTGTACTTAGAAAAAATGCTGAAACTCATGATTAGCCCTACTTCATTGCATATTACATTAGCACTAGATGTTAAGTAACTAGGATGTTAACGGTTTTATTTTAAACCCTTTTCGTTGTGATACTGTGTTCAATAGTCGTTGCCTTACATTGTACCATGTACAATTGTCGTGCAATTAAGTTCTTCTGACATTTGTGACATTTGTACATACAGCATTACACGTATCAGACGATGTATGACGTTATATCACATATTGGTACCGCCCCCGGCTACACTACGCGGCATTGCCGGCACTGCCGTAGATTCAGTCTTACTAAATACCTTCCTCTGATGT